CGCTTTTGCGAAGGAAAATCGTGTACACGAAACAAAGTGAGCTGGGGGCGACACACAAACCAAAGCATTAGGGAGAAAGAAAAACAGGTTTTGGAAAGGAGGGAAAAAACATATTCCAGCTTAACGAAATAGGACAATTTTACGGCGAATACTGCATGCACCGACCAAAATCCCACATCCGAAAATCGCCATCCCGCCCAACTCATCCCAATCCCATCCCAACCCGCCCCGTATCAACCCAAGCTCGCACCTGATGCGTCGGCCGCTGCCGCCACCGCCCCACTCAGAGTCATCGGGTCTGCCATAGCGCCCTCTCCCGCCTCCGCCTCCGCCACCACCTCCTCCAAAGAGCTTCCGCTTCAGCACCCACAGGGCCACCACAGCCACACCGCCCAGCGCCCCGAGCTGCGTCCGCCGCTTCACATCCGCCTTGGACCAGGCATTCGACACGGTGTTCACAAACGTGCGTGGCGCTGCCAACATGTGGTTCGTTGGGTTGGCGGTCACGTTGGAGTTGTTGAACACCACCGCGCCGCCTGCGGCAGGCTCCTGACCCACATGCTTTATCAGCTGGTTGAACAGCAGGTCGTTGGTCTCGCATCGTGTCTGCAGCAACGTGCGGACAGAGAGCGCTTCGTCCTGAAGGGACAGCGGCATTCGACTAATGAAATCATCGCGGAAGATGGCGCCGTAGGTCTCCAGATACATCCGCAGCAACTGGGCGTAGTCTTTGGTCGTGATCGCACGACTGCTGTTGTTGCGCGCTTCCACAAAATCCGCAGTACCGAACTTAGCCAGACACTCGCCCACCATCAAAAGCTGCCGTACAAGGTCTTGTGCCTCGGGGGACTCCCAGGCGGGGTCTGCTACGTCCTCGGCTGCCGCACGCGGCGTCGTAGCGGGAAGACGCAACGCCTCCCGCATACGACCGAGTGTGGAGAACAGCCGCACAAAGGCCTTGAACCTATCTAGCGGCATCGGACTTTCTGTGGCGGCGAGGAGATCGGTCATGAAGCCGTTGCCGCCGCAACCCAGGGAGAAGGAGCCCGGGGTTAACTGCGAAGGCGAGATGCCACCGGAGGGCTGCGAAGGGACGATGGCCATGCTGTTGTAGCTGGTGTTGCGCTCGCGGAGGCCGGCAGGACCGCTGCTATGGTACGGCTGCAGTACCAAGTCGCCGTTGCGTTGCTGCAGCTGGTGCTGCGCCGAGCCGTGGGAGCTGAGCGGCGCGGGAGCGGATGGCGCGTGGTGGAAGGAGTGCTGTGCCGAAAGAGGGCCGCGGTGGTACTGGCTGCGTTGGGCAGGTACGTCAGAGATGTAGTCAGTACCCACAAGGTCAGATGCGGAGCCGTCGTGAACGGGAGAAAAACCGTCGACCGGCATGCTGCGAAGGCGATGTGCCGACGAATCGGGCGTGGTGCAGCGTGCAGAAAGGTGGCCGTTGGCGGCGCCGTTGCCGTTCGCGGAGCCCGGGTCATCTATGACGGCCATGTAGACGCTGTTGCCGTTGGCCATCGGCCGCTTCATCAAGCGCCAAAACGTGCCTTTATGGAGGAATTTTTCGTGTGTGATAAGGCCCCTGGGCCAGGCGGAGAGGATGTCCTCGAGGCAAAGGTACTCCGGGACGTTTGGGAAGAGGCGCTGCTCGTCGCCGGGTCGGACGTAGCTGTCGGCGATGCGGACTGGGATACGGAGGGCGCCAATTGCCATGGACTTGGTGTTGTGAAGTATGTTTGTGGCGTTAGGCAACGGGAGGAAAACGGGGAAGTGCGGTCGCGTGCGCAGATTGCAACGTTGCAGGCTGCGGAGTCATACTGTGGGAGTAGGGTTGCGCGAAAACAAAAGCTACGGAAGGATTAAAGATTCCCCTAGGAAATATTAAGGCATACAATGCGTGCGGGCCTGAGTTGTCCGAAGCACCGCGAACAAGGCCCAACAAAAAGACACCTCGAAAGGGGGGTTTGCTGACGCAGCAATTTTGGCGGCAGCCACGGCAATTATGGTTCTGCCAAAATGGCAATCTAAACTAACGGCAAATTCCACCTAAAGAAGACTCGGGGGAGGGCCCTAGGCATGAACGCTGATGCACCCACGGTGTACCGAGGTGACTCAGTGATGGATATTCCAGAACGAGGTCAGAAAAGTGCAATGAGTCCTCTGGGAATTCCTATGCATCTCGACCCACCTCAACAAACACGAATAGGTAGCTTCAAACCAAGCCCGGCCGCTGGGCTAGAAGTGTTGCTTGACTCCGCCCAATTCCAAGCGCACTCTAAGTTTAGAAAGCTATTATATGCGTATACTCAGTGTTGTTATGGCCTTACTGAAAAGTGTGGCCAGAGCACATCAGATGCAGGTTAAATCCCTACAGTGACCTAGTAGTGATAAAGGAACTGACGTAAGTCGAGGAACGGATGCTGGCACTCATTGAATACTTTTGGTGGAACCTGCCGTACGGCCTTCTAAAACCGAATTGAGGGACAGAGGGAACGGAGACCTTCGACGGAGATGATGCAATTCGCGGACTTTAAATTTGCTGCAAGTTTTCATTGTACCTAAGTATCCAGCCTGCTAACAATCCAGCGCTCTTTCCAGGCGAAGTGGAGCACGGCCTCCTTTGAAACACAGCTAGATTCACTTACCCTACGCCTGAAGATGGCCGACTGCACGTTAATGGCGTTGCTTCAAGTGACAGGCCAGGCGGACGGCCTTGCTGCCGATGCTCTTGCTAATCTCAGTCATATCCCCTTAATTCAGCACCTCGCAGCGGTCTTAAGCAAGGAGGACAACTACGTCAGCCCAGAGGACTTTGAAATGGCGGAGGTCCAGACAACCTATGAAAACAACCCCGACCTTGCCGACCAGGAAGTCCAGCAGCTGTTAGACCTCCGCCTAAGTAATCCAGAACTCTTCTCGCTTGAACTAGCAGACGAGCCCGAGCTCCGGGAGGTCATCGACGCCATCGCAAAACAGGACGAGCTCATAAAGCAAGGGGACGCGCGCTTGGCCCGTACGCGCGCACACCTGGCCACGCTGCATGAGAACAGCCAAGCCATTCGGCTGCAGCAGCAGCAAGCAGACCAAGGCCTGGCACGAGCCAATCGCGCTGTAGAGCAGCGCACCGCTGCTGCGTCGAGCCGAAACGCCGCTGATAACTGCACCGCGCAGGCGGTCCAGGATTGCGCGCGTCTCATGCAGGACTTGCTGCACAAGTCCGCGGAACGCTGGCTGCTTTTAGCGCACCCACTGGACGAGCTACGCGAAATTGAAAAGGCAATAACTGCCGAGATCTCACGGTAAGTGTATGTGGGTTACACTTACCCCCCCACACACACTGCACACCCTACCCCCCCCCACACACACACTGCACACCCTACCCACACACACCAGCGCCTGAAACAAATCCATCCCCCCCAGGGTCAGGATGGACATGACAGGCGGGTCAACCCGCTCTCCTCCCATCCACGCGCCCGGCCCACAAACCGCCTGTGTCTCTTCCCAACGGCTATACTATGTGTCCAAGTTTACTACACGCTGTCCTCCATCCCCCCCCCAGGGCCAAAGAGCAGCTAAGCCCTGCCGAGCTCGCGCGGCGTCTGGCTGAGCAGCAGGCCTCCCAGGGCGCCCTCCCGGATACGCCCTTCGCGCCCAGCGGCACGCGCATGCTGACGGGGTTGGAGCCCGAGCAGTACGCCACGGTGCTGGCGGAGGCGGGGCGCATCGGCACCAGCGGCCGCATGATGCGCGACCGAGTGGAACGGCTGCAGGCGGAGCTGGCGGGACTGCAAAGGCAGGTGGGCTACGGGAGCTCAGGGCCATTAAATTGCTTTTTGCTTCGGAAGAAAGCCAACAGCGCTTTTTTAAACCCGTGGCAATGTCCCCGTCCGCCTTCTCCGCGAGCCCCTCCCCCTGACCGACAGATGGACGCTGGCAGCTCATTCCTTGTTTCCTTGCTTGCATGTGACTTCCTTCTACCCGCAGATAGACCTGCTGCAGCACCTGGCGGACGAGACCGCGGGCGGTGTGACGGCCAGCAGTCTGGGCTGTGTGCTAGGGGACTGGAAGCAGCGGCTGGACCCGGAGGCTGAGGCTCGGCTGAGGGCCGAGACGGAGATGCTGGAGGAGCAGCTGAGAAGGTGAGGGCCAAGGGGGGGTTAAGGGTGAAGAACCGGGACGAAGAAGAGGGGTTGGGGGATGGAGAGAGAGGGAGGGAGGGGGGTTACAACGAACCACAGACGACTGACAGCGAGGGGGGATGAATGAGAGAGGGCGATTGATCGATGAGCAAGCAAGGAGCGAGGAGCCGCATGGTGGGATAGATGCGCACGGATACGGTGGCCGGACGTTGTGATGGACAAAGGGATGGCACGACAGCGCGATTACCGGATCCACTGAATCCATCAGTTCCGTCCTTAGCTTCATCCATGAGGTTTCCAGCCCCTTTTAACAACCCCCCACTCTACACTACTCTTATCCTCAACCCTCTGATACGTGCCCTGGCCTATCCGATGAAATCAAACCGTCGTGGATAGCCTGCATGACGGGGAGCAGCGGCAGACACTGCTGGACCAGCTCGCCGCCGTGTTCACGGCGCAGGTGAAGCGGGCGCTGTGGCTGCTGCGGCACCAGCAGCTGGGCTACATGACACAGCTGCAGCGGCAGCTGCTGGAGGTGCTGCTGCAGCAGTGGTCACGGACGGAGGTCGTCCAGGTGGAAGCGGGGGGGGGGGTCGGGGGGGCCAGGTCCAATCATCTCGCTGCACGGGTTCGGGAACTTACTGTTCAGTTTATTTATTCCTTCCTCCCTTTCACCTTCACTCTCACCTTCCTCCTGTTCCCAACATAGGCGGATGTGCTCATGTCTGTTGTCCGTGATTTAAATTGTCTTATCTTGTCCTGTCTGTTCCACCTATCGCAATAGGTGATTCGCGCGGAGGAGCGGCGCACCCTGCAGGACCTGTACATCTCCCTGGGCGCCGTGTGCGGTGAACTGGAGGAGGCCGCCCGTGTTGCCGCGGCCGATGTGGAAGAGTTCCGTTCCCTGTCCTCGGGAGCTGAGGCTCAGGCGCTTCTGGCAACGGACCGCGGACCTCAGGCCCTGCTGGGCGGCGACAACGCGCTGTGCTCCGCGTACACGCTGCTGGACTGCCAGCGACAGCGGTTGCAGCTGCTGCAGGAGCGACACGAGGCAGGCCTGGCGGCGCAGGCGGCCGCGGACGCGGCAGCTGCCACCGCCGCCGGCGGCGCTGCCAGCGGCGGCCTGAGCCAGGGCAAGGACGGCGGCGGCGGTGGGCCAGGTGGCGGTGGAGGTTTCACTGCCACGCAGTCGCTGACGTCGCCGCGAACAGCCGGCAGTGGCGCAGGCGGCGGCTTTGGCGGGGCGGCGGCGGCGGCGGGCGCGGCGGGCAATGCCTTTTTGGATAGCGTACTGTCCGACCCGGCTCATCGAACTGTGTCGAACTTAGCTGCAGGCGTGGACGCGGTGCTAGGCCTTATGGGCCGGTTGGAGCAGCAGGTTCACCACCGAGTGTCAGGCCAGTTGTCCAAATTGGTTTCGGAGGGTCGGCGCCGCGTGGAGGAGTTGCGGCAGATGCTGGCGGGTCCTGCGGGAATGGCGCAATCGCCCCAGCAGCAGCAGCAGCAGCTTCTGGTGCTCGCCAACGACTCGGTGCAGCAGCAGACAACAATACAGAAACAACCGCAGGCGGGGCAGCAGACGACGCAGATGATGGCGTCTGCCGGGCAGCAGTCTTCGACCTCGGCGTCGTCGCGCAGTGGTGTCAGCGGTGGTGGTGGTGGTGGAGGTGGAGGGGGGGGGTCGGCACGGGCAGGGCAGAAGGCACAAGCGTGGCCGGTGCTCCGAGACCAGGCGTTCGAGAACGAGCTTGCGGGCACCAAGGTCGACGTGGAGCGCGTCCTGGCGGACATCCAAGTGTTCGTCTCCCGCCAAAACATGCTGCTGGACAGCCACCGGCGACAGTCGGAGCAGTCCCGATTGGAGCGTGGGGTGCTGGCGGCGTTTTGGAACGCGCCCGAACAGCTGCTGTGTGACGTGCAGGCACTGCGGGACAGGCTCGCAGCGCTGCTTAATTCCCAATAATCATTCGCCATTGCTGACTAGAGGGTGGAACTGAATGGGCGCTAGATAGACGACTTTGGTGTTGCTTCTCTTACTGCGGCGGCCGCGGCGTCTTTGTGCGCGCTCTTTCCCTTCCTCTCTCTTTCTCTCTCTTTCTTTCTTTCGCCCTCCCTCGGGACGGCCGTGCTGACTGGCTGGCCCACGGGTGGCCCTATCCCACCACGCCAAGCGCAGCACCCATGCAGAAAGAGAGGGCACTTTTCATGCGAAATATGCCGTCTCCTCTGCCGTTCCAACTTAAAATTGTGTGATTGATGTGTTTTCAGCTTTTTGGGGTAGCTTGACTGGTATGGAAATCCAGCCTGTACGTGAGGCACAATAATAAAACGGCAGCAGAGGTTTGGGGCGAACACATTATGTCACGCAGTTAATAGTCGGATGATGTCCTGGTAGTGTGCTGAAGTTAAATTGAGTCGTCAGGAGTCGTCAAGCAGTCCAGTTCTGGTGCCGAGCCGGCTCACCGGCTCATGTTCATCAAACTGGTCCGAGGAAAGTCCCCAGTTGGGCGAATTTGACAGGGGTAGCCCCCAGACAGGGGTAGTTAGGCCGGTATAGTGAGGCCCAGGTAGGCAAGGTAGGCAAGGGGCTCAGCTTATTATAGTGTTGGGGAGGGGAAGGGGAGGGGGAAGAGGCTGTCCGCGGGTCCACTGGTGTTGGCTGTGGATCTCCTGATATGAAGGACCTGTGTAGGGCAGAGGACCCGTGGCTCTACGGGGGTTTGCCCTAACGGCTGAGAGATTACACTTATCTGTCAGATTACACTGTACTGCCCGGTAACACGCACACGCACACATACACAAAAACTCTCTCTCCGTTGGGGCTGGGCAGCAGCCCCTGGCCAGTCTCAGGCCGGGATATTTGTACCCTTATACACACATATGTAGACTTTGGCTACTTGTCATAAAGGGTTCGCTGCTCACTGGTAAAGGGTTTTGCTCGGGGGTCCAACCCGGCTTTAATAGATGCAAATATAAGTTACACGATCATAATTGCCGTGCGTCTATTAAGTTTGCCGGACAGAATAAAGGAGTCCTGGCAACGTTTTGACGGTGTATTGCACAAAAAAGGTGTGCCTCGGAGCGTCAATAGAAGGGACCATAGCGTGACTTCGGAGCGAATCCAAAAATGGAATTGCTCTTAACGATTTGCAGTTCTCTGACCCGAAGCGCAACGCAGAGCTTTTCGGACTTTCCGTTGTAGAAGCTTTGAAAAACGATGTCATAGGATCAAGCGTGTCTGGATTCACTCGTCCTGCCACGTATGGCTTTTGCACGATAATTTTGCACGACTGTGTGCCCAGGCAACTGTCGCTGATAAAAAGGCCAAATCTCTGGATCAAAGCAGCACGGGCTGATCTATTCGGATGCCGCAAGCGTACTAACAATACTAAGCAAGCATACTAATACCAGCAAGGGCCCTTTCGAGACGCAGCAAACCAAATGTCTTCTAACTTAAGGTATGGCTGCATTCCTCTTGCTTCGTTGGTGCTTCTGGTGAGCGCTGTATGGCTGTTAGGCCAGCGCTTCGGCCCCGCTGACCCGCAAGCAACGTCCGAACGTAACGCCGGCTTCCGGCAACAAACGCCCTGGGAGACCATGGCAAGTAAGTTGATACATTATTTAGTTCGCTCTATTATTTAAAACAACCTGATATTCAACTTTATGCATGCTCATGCATGCTCATTTGTCGGGCTGCCAATGGCATTCGCGGTCGCCGGGAAGGCGTGATAAAATAAAACAAATCATGATTATCCAAATATTATATTAAATTTCACGGCTTTGTCTTATTGATGCAATTCCACTGCGACAGCGTTGCTTCCGCATCCCGTCACTTGCTGGACCTCGGCAAACCGAATCGCGCGTTCCGCTCTCCCTGCCTGACCATCACGCATCGCGACCCCATTAATTACCCGCCAGACATGGTCTTGACAAACGGGTACTCTCTGGAGGAACACTTTTTGGAAACAGAAGACGGCTATATCCTCCGCTTATTCCGAATAGGATCCGAAATCCAGCTGCCCGGCGATCCCCGTCCGGCCGGACCGTCGTCGTCGTCGTCGTCGTCGCCGTCGTCGCCGTCATTATCAATATCGTCGGACGACCAAACCGCCTCTACCGAAGGCGCAGCCACGACCGCCTCCGAAACCAATCTGGCGTCCACAAGCCCGGCAGTAGGCGCCCAGCCTGTCCTCTCCGTCCCAGCCGGCGGCGGCAAGCCGGTAGTATTCCTTCACCATCCCTTAATGGGCAGTTCAATTGACTTCGTGGCGATGGGTCCGAACCGCAGCTTGGCATTTATACTTGCAGACGCAGGCAAGTCAAAACGGGTATGGAAGGGCAGGATTGACACAGGATATCCAACACATCCACCGCGTCCTGACTTGCCCATTTCCGCACGCACATACAATAACACGCCCATGAACTTTCCTTGAATGGCAGAAGAGTTTTTAAACATGGATTACTTCGCACACGTTGCAGCAGTCGCGACTTAGAAAGTTCTTCTCAAACAGGCAAACGGCAGCAGCAGGGCCAGGGACTTAGGGCAGGAGTAGCAGTCAGGAGAAGAACATACCTATGTATGTATGTGTGTGTTATAAAGGTTTGAAGAGCCCACCTGGCAGCCAGGTAACTTGGAAACCTCGGGGGACTCGGGGACTTTGGAACTGCTGTAAAAGACAAATGTGTGTGTGGCAATACCGGCAGTGCGTGCATATGTACGTCCACGTCCCGCATTCCACACACCCCGGGAAACGGAAAGCGCTTGGCCCCAAAGACCTCCCCAACAAAATCCCTCCCAACCCGTCCACCCCTCCCACCCCCTTCCACACCTCTCATTCCTTTTCCACTCCTTCGTTCCCTTTCCCGCTCTGGCTCCCTTTCCCTTACTTCTTGCCTCCTCATCCCTTTGCTCATCCCCTAAGTCCACTCCCAGCTTTATATCACATCCATCCATCCATCCACCCGCCAACGCCACCCATCCTTACAGAGCACGTACCATGGGCTACAACACCTTCTGCCCCCCTCCATCCATCCATCCTCGCCTCCAGGTTACGATGTCTGGCTCGCTAACGTCCGCGGCAACCGCTTCTCTCGCAACCATTCCCGGCTGGATCCCGATGCGCCGTCCGACGTGGCGTCATTCTGGTCTTTCAGTTGGGACGAGCATGCATCCTTGGACCTGCCTGCCTCGCTGGACTTGGTTGCGCAAGTGACGGGCCAGGACACCGACATGCTGTTCGTGGGATATTCCCAGGCAAGATGAAGAGGCAAGAGGGACAAAGAGGGGGTTCGTATGGGGGGAGAGAGAGAGAGAGAGAGAGAGAGATGAGACGAAAGGGAGAGAGGGAGAGGGAAGGAGAGGAAAGGGAGTTGAAACGGGAGAGGGGGAGGAGCGCTGATTGCTGTGAACGGCGAAGGAAGCGGTCCGGGTAGGACATGTGTGGTGTGCGTGTGTGTCTGTGTGTGTATATGTCTGTGTGTCTGTGTGTGTATATGTCTGTATGTGTGTTGCGGGACTGCGCTGCCCTGTGGTGAAACACCACAGCCGTGCACCGTGTACGAGGACGTGTACGAGTCCCCACCCTCTCTCCTCTCCTCTCCCTCTCTCCCCTCCCCCCCCCTCTGCCCCCCCCCTTTCAGGGCACCACCGTGGGCTTGGCCGCCCTGGCCTCTCAGCCCCGGGTCGCCAGGCGGGTGGCGGCCGCCGTGCTGCTGGCTCCAGTCGCCTTCGCCAGCCACATCACCAGTCCCGTGTTCAAGATGATGGCTAAGGGGCACCTGGACCTGGTTGGTGCCGCTGCTCCTCCCCTCGGAGGAAGGGGGTTGAGAGGGGCCTTTGGACCAGGCAGCGCACCATGGGGTGCTCATCAGGGTGCTCGTGGTTCCCAGGACTTTTTCTATGTTAATAATTATGGGCTCAGGAAGAATACACGGAAAGCATAACCCGGGAGTTGGCGGGGAGTTGGGATGCCGGAGATTTGGGCTCCTGAGGATCTGAGGCGCTGGGCTAATCAGATCCGTCCACGGCGTATCCTGGAGAGTTGTAACGGCGTCGCGCACACGTCATTCCGTACACGTCACGCCACGTACATCAGCCTGCCGGCCGCCACGACAACGAACTCAACCGCCCGCCCATCACGGTATCGCACCGGACATCCCCCTGACACTTCCTCCTCCCCACTGTCCACATCCTCTCCCCAGTCACATCCTCCCCCCCACACACACATTCTTACCCCCGCCACAACTCCCCCACACGCACATCCTCCCCCACACGCACATCATCCCCCCCCACGTCTTATATAAATACATTACCCCGCGCCTCTCAGCCCACTCCATCCCCTCCCCTCGCTTTTACCATCTTCCCGCACCTCCCCAACATCCTTGAGCCCTAGACCTCTAAAAACAACCAAAACCGCATGCCTTCTTTATCTCCCCCTCTTCATCCACAGCTCTTCCGCCTGGCGGGTCTTCACGAGTACGGCGGCCACTCTCCCGCGGTCGCGGAGCTGTCCGCGGACTTCTGCGGGCGCTACCCCCGGCCCTGCACGGCATATCTGGAGCTGCTGTGCGGCACCAACCCCCACGGTAACGTGGACCCGGGGCTGCTGCCCACCATCATGAGGAGCCTGCCCTCCGGCACCAGCGTGCAGAACATGGCGCACTGGGGCCAGGTAGGTCAGTCTCTGAAGAGGGGGAGGAGGGGGAGGAGAGGGAGGAGGGGGAGGAGGGGGAGGAGGGGGAGGAGGGGGAGGAGGGGGAGGAGGGGCAGGAGGGGCAGGAGGAGGAGGAGGAGGAGGAGGAGGAAGGGGAGAGCACCGACCCTTTTTTTTCCCCGAGGGCTTCCCTCTTCGTTTTATTCTCCTTTTTGCATATTTTGTCCAAATTGATCTTCTATATTTTACATGTAAGAATTTTGCATTCATGTGCCGCTTGTCCGTGTCTGTGTTTTGATGTTCTTCCCCACCTTTCCTGACGACTGTATGTAGGTCGTCCGCTCATCTGATCCGATGCGGCTGCCGTACTACGACTATGGCACGGATTGTGGCAAGGCTGGTAGGTCACATGATTGCTGTCGCTGCAGCGGCAGATAGCCTCTGCGGGTGAGAGAAGCGATAGACAGCGCAAGAAACCTAAACCGGTTCAGGTTTGAGGCCACACAGGCTAGCACGGCTCTGTACCCTCAATCACCCCATCCAAATCCAGCAGCTAACTACCTAACTACCTAACCACCTAACTCCGCCACCACCAGACCCAGCCCCGAGGGCGGCCACAACCGCCGCCATAACCACGTCGGTTTCGGAGCGCACCGGCGGCGAATACGCCTGCAATCAGGCCGCTTACAACTCCACCCGCCCGCCCAGCTACCCCCTGGGCTCCATCACCACACCCCTGGCGATCTTCACGGGGGGCCGTGACGCGCTGGCGGACCCCGTGGATGTGGCCTTGCTGCTCAGTGCGCTGCAGAGGAGCTCCGAGCCGAGGACAGGTCGAGAAGGAGGTGGAGGTGGAGGTGTTGTGCGGTTGCATCATGACGAGCCGGACTACGGCCATCTGGATTTTGGTAGGAGGGAAGGGGGCTTCGGTGGGGCGGCCAAGCTTTCAAGTTGGCCGTGCGTGTGGGGAAGGGGGAGGGGAAGGGGGAGGGGGGAGGGGGCAAACGACACGCCCACCTGCAAGGGCGAACGTGAGGGGTTTTGTGGGGGGATGTGTATGGGGCTTACGAAGGTGGGGGGCCGGGGCTGGAGTGTAGGGAGTGTGCGCAGGGAAGGGGAAGGGGGAGGTCCATTCCGGGGAGGTCTAGCAATAGGTGTGTGAGGGAGTGTGGGGGATGTGGGGGTGGGGGTTGTGGGAGATTGTGTGTGGGGAGTTGCAGCCGCGCACTTGCCCGCCGAACTTTGGCTCGTGCAGATGGGTTCTTGAGAACAACATGGCGCACAAACTTGCGCCCTGCCGTCAGGTGATGACCATGAAACCGGTTCATCTTCCTCCCCACAAGATCAACGTGTTGCAGGTTCTTAATCTTTCCTGTATTACCATCACGCCGAATACGTACTGCTGCACACACACATCCACACACCCACACAGCGCGTTCATTCTCATTTTTTTGTACCTTGATTTGCCCCTGCCCGCCTGCCTGCCTGTTTCCCTTCCGCCGACCCCCAATGTCCCCCCACCCCGGCCCCCACCCCTCTGTGTGTGTGTGTGCGTGTGTGTGTGTGTGTGTGTGTGTTTCGCCGGCCCCTAGGTGTGGGTCACGACGCGGCCGATCGGATATATCCCCTGGTTCTGGCCTTCCTCCGGGACTTCACCGCAAAGGGGGGAGGGAAACCACACGATGCCACGGCTGCTGCTGCTGCTGCGGCTGCTGCCGCTCGGTCGGTCTAGGACCTCCTAGTCGACCTCGGCGAGCAGCAGCAGGGGCCCGTCCCCAGCTGGACCATGTAGGCGGAAGAGGAGGAGATAGCCGCGGACTCCAACAGACAGACCAGGGGTACCTTAGAGGCGGTAAAGGTTCACAAGGGTGGCAGCAACGTCGCAACACATCGATGGAAATCGGACGGCAGGCGGAAACCCCGGACCGCAGCGCACAGTGTGTGTGGCTTCCATCAGGCTCCGGGGGGAAGACGGGCGGCGGTGACGGTGATGGTGATCGTGGTAGCTGTTGTGCTAGTGGACTACTGCGATGAATGCGACCAATTGCGACCGGCTGGCCGAACGGCCCTGCACTGCACTGCACTGCCTGCTGCCGCACCCGCCGGGTATGCAGCCGCCAGGCAGACGCTGCAATACAGTACAGAAAGGAGTTTGGGGACGGTTGGCTGCTGACTGGGGAGGTGGTGTAGAGTCGGCGACGCCCCTGCTGCTGTTGACCGTCGAGAGACCCACTTCGTGATCGCGCACGTGTTTTTTGTCTGTTCGTTTCTGCGTGTTTCGTATGACTGGGGAAGCGTGACTGACGTAAGGAGGTCTGTTACCTCGGCGTTAAGGCTATTGCGTACACAACACCGCATGAGCGTGTCTTGCAGTGTCTCGGCGTAAAGGGTTAATCTGGGTCCGTGTTTTTTTTCGTGTTTAGGAAGTCGGTTGCGATCTGGTGGATGCGGAACTTGTACAGGCGCCCTACGGACGGAACCAGCGATCCTATACAGGACATACAGCTCCATAGTCCACTCGCTTGTGACAGGCTGCTTGATACATTCATGGCTTAAATTGCATTTTTATTGGCATTTATTCGCGCGCTCGGGTTTCGTTCTGCAAGTCGGGATGCTGGCGTGCACGCTGGGGGACGCGTGTGTGATTGTGTGTGATTGTGTTTTTTTTTGGAACGTGGCAGGTCAGGTCGGGTGCAGGATTTGTACTCATATGGGATCGTGTTGTACCCTCTTGTTATTTATTATCAATATCAATATCAATATTAATATTATCGTCTGCGCCGAGCGAAGAAGGATTATGGTCGGGGTTCGTAAGGCTGGAGTACAGGCCGTCGCATGATAGTTGCTGGCTAGCTGCTATTAGAGCTAGCGTATGTGGCCCGGTGAGCCTCAAACTTCCGTTGGCGTGGATGGTGGTGGTGGCGGTTGCGGAGGTGCTGGTGGTTGCACTCGCTGGTGGTGACTGTCTGGCTACCAGCTGCTTTGCATGTGTCAGTTGGTGTTTCGGTTGCGAGCTAGAGGCATGGTCATGCTTGCAACACGTGACGTTTACTTTTCCATGCACAATTCTTATGAAGCAAGTGACATTGTGAAAGGTGCAGCAAAGGCCACTTCGTCTGCTGCATACAGTTCGTCGGGGTATATAATTCGCTCAAATCTGCTCCATGACCTTTCTCTGTGCGATGTGTTAAATCAAAATTTTAGATTTTTTCGGCTTGTCATCACCATTACTGGACAACCCTGAATGTTTCACATGGATAAATACCGGTATGCGAAGCGATAGATAGGTACCCGTGTCGTTGATGCTGCATATCGACCCCTTTCGTATTATTAGCTGCATGAAAAGGTCCCATCATGATTTTAGCTCATTTGCATCGCGGTCCCCAGAAAACGCCCTGTGCCAAGACATCCGACGTAATTGGCTAGCCATGCGTGACAGAATGATGCTCAGAAATTCCACCCAGGTCAACCAAGGCCCATTGGAAACCCTAAGTTCCCATTAGATGTACGTATGGAACACGTCACCAAATGTATACTGCATGCAACGCACGCTGACTTCTATTTAGTGAGCTTGCACGTTTGTGATGCACATTTGCTCTAAGTTTACCAC